GCGTCAAATAAAATAAATAAATAAATAATACTCACTCGTCCCACGAGCGTCCCCACCAACGACTCTACCATGCCACAGCATGATGCAGGAGTGTCGATTCCTAGGCCATAACAAAAATATTGTTTGTTTGCCTCTCACCCGACCGACCCGCCGAAAAGGGGCCCCGACTCAATAAATTTTATTGATCTTTCCCATTCTTTTTTTTTTTACAAATTGTATCACTGTACATTATATAAATCTGTAGGCAATACATTATATGTACCTAGCAAAACAAACATTCAACATAAAAGGTATCTCCACACAAGCACACCCGAGCATGTAGACACCATGCTGAATTTGGAAAAAAGACCCCAACCCTCAAAAAAAGCCTCTCTACCTACCCAAACATTTCAGCCTGGGTCGGGTGAGGGCAAACAAAGATTTTTTTAATTGTGGCCTAGGAGGGAACGCAAGATTTCGTGTCCACTAAGAATCAAATACAGCAGCGATTTGATGAAATGAGCAGACGATTCGAAACACCAACACAATTCATATCCAGATGTGTTTCAACGTGGGTCTCTCACCAAGGCTAATCGCATCACTGGGTTGTCAACTGCAGAAATCGACAGAGAAGTTTTGTAAAACTCCACCTTTTTTAAACTACTCCGCTACATACTAAGTAACACTAACTACAACTTTTTAACTAAACTCTACTACTAATTAGCACTAGCAACTACTACAAAGTAACACGAACTACAACGTTTTAACTAAACGTTATCACTACGCAGTACTAACTACTTCTTTTGAACTAAACTGCACTTGAACTCTTTGTCGTAAAAGTAGAAAGAAATACTCGACCCAATCATTGGTGGCGACAAAGGAGATTGAAAGTGAGTTTTAAACCTACACACAAGTGAGCTCCAAACCTACCAAGTAGTACTAACTACTACGTTTTAACCGAACTCTACTACAAAGCTGTATTAACCACTACCTTTGAGCTAAACTAATCACTGGTGACGATGAAGGAGAGTGAAGCTTACTAGCGCAGACTTGTGACTTTTTCACGCAACTCGGCTGCGATTCTAGAATCGCAGNTGTGTGTGTGTGTGTGTGTGTGTGTGTGTGTGTGTGTGTGTGTGTGTGTGTGTGTGTGCGTGTGTGTGTGTGCGTGCGCGTTTGTGTGTTTGTGTGTGTGTACATAGAGTGCAAATTTCTATTCTCATAACAAGACCTTCAATAGCAGCTCTCGTACTCGCTTCCTTCTCAACACGCGCTTCTAAAACGATAATGATCACATTCGCATCAGATCAAAACGCCTTCGATCATAGAAATTCCAGCGCGTAAGGAGAGCAGCGCGAGGTTTACGAAGACCTTGGATAGGAAAGTGACTACTAGTTCTGCCGTGTACTGAGTCACGCAAGGGGGCCATGTTATCATATGTAATCCTGCAGTCTTGCTCTGACAGGGTCGGACTCGTTACCAGCCGGGCGGACACGCTAAGGTGTATTTTGTAGTATCCCTCACCGCGCCTGAACACCTCTCAGATGTAATCCCTGTCTAATTATGAGGCAGAACTCGACGTCCATGTCATTGTAAACACAAGCAACACCTCTGTGTTCGTATTTATTCTTCACCTTAAGCTTATAGGTCGCGAATAGACCGGTCGCGGTCATTGTATCGCGTAGTGCTAATAGGAACTTTGTTGGATAAATGTAAATAAAGTGCAGGTATTTTATCACGTATGAAATTATTTTTTGTATTTTTTTTACCATAAAACATAAAATGTAA